AAAAAGTAAAAATTCACCCCATAGAATGGGAGAAAATACTTGCAAATCATATATTATAAGGATATGCATCTAGAATATACAAAGAGCTCTTACAACATAATAGTAAAAAATATAACAGTTTTAAAAAGGTAAAGAATCTGAATATACATTTCTCCAAAGAATATGTAAAAAGGACCAATAAGCAGGTGAAAAGATGTTCCATCATTACTATTAGGGAAGTGAAAATCCAAAACACAAGGAGATATGACTTTACACCCACCAGGATGGCTATAATCAAAAACACAGACAATAATAAGTGTTGGTAAGGATATGAAGAAATTGGAACCCTCATAATTGTTGATGGAATTGTTAAATGGTGCAGCCTTTTTGGAAAACAGTTGGCCAGTTCCTCAACATGTTAATAATGGAGTTTGGCATTATCTCATGAACCAGCAATTCCATTCTCAACATAGATCCAAGAGAAGTGAACACATACCCACACAAAACCTATAAGCAAATATTCATAACAGTATTATTCATGATAGCCCAAATGTAAATATCCAAATTTCCAAAATGTAGTTTACTCATACAATAGAATATTACTCAGCTTTGAGAAAGAATGGAATATTGATTCACACTACACCATGCATGAATCTTGAAAACATTATGGCAAGTGAAAGAAGTCAGCAGTAGAAGACCACACATTGTATGCTTCTATTTATATGAAATGTGCAGAATAGCTAAATATATGAAAAAGAAAGTACATTAGTGGTTGCCTAGGGCTGGGGATGGAGGGAATAAAAAGTGACTGCTAATGAGTATGGATTTCTTTTGGGGATGATAAAAATGTTCTAAAGTTAGATAGTTGTGATCATTATGCAACTCTGTGAATATACTAAAAACTATGAATAGTACCCTTTAGATAGGCGAATTGAATGACTTATAAATTATATCTCAATAAATCTGTTTTTCTTTTAAAGATTAGTTTTTGTTGGTTTGTTTAAAGAGGATAATGTAAGAAAAAAGGACTAGATGTTAAAAATCAAGAGGCTCACTGTTCAAAGTAAGTTTGAGGTAGCAAAATAGGGAGTGTATATTTCTATTTTTATCTTTGATGTTCTAACTTTAGCAAGAGCCCAGACCTGCAATGTTATACTTAGCATTCCATCCTCAGAGGATTTGCCCTTTTCTTCACATGAACCACCTTTATTTGTTTTGTTTTCAAAATGCATTATATATTACAAGTACACTAAAAATGTCTCTTATTTACTTTTATGTGACAGTTGTCTCTAATATCTCCAAAGTGTTAAGAACAAAATAATAATTTTATTTTGCTACATATGCAGCAACATAAGGATGAAAGACTATGTCCCTTGAGATTGGGTGCCCAGGCTACAAAAACAGACTGCCTAGATTTTAGTCAAGGTGAATTTGGGAAAGGTATTAACCTCTGTTTGCCTATCTGGTAAAAGGACAGAAGTAGTACTACTATTTATTTTATAATTATTATTCTGAAGATTAAAGGAATAAGGCATATAAATACAGCACAGTGTCTAGAACAGACCTTATAATAGTTTTTAGTTATTACATATAGTAACAATAGAGCATTGATTATTTAAAAATGCATGAACATAAGATTGCAATGTGGCTGAGAATTGAGTTTTGGCATCCTTAAAGCAAGTGAGGGCTGGAAAGATATATAATATTCTATTTCTCAGTTTTGCTAACATCGGGCAACTGTATTGGATATTTAATCAAGGTATTTGGATAGTTTTCAGCATTTATTGATAGAATAGTCTTTAGAAAGGATTGCTACAGATAATATTGTGAAGATGCAGGAGTATTTTTCAAAGAACATGATGTGATTCAAGCACTCCTACAGAGCTGATATTTTAGGTCGCATTTTTTAATCAGTGTTATAACAAATTTGCTGTTTTACAAATCATGCTTTTAATTTGAATAAGAGTCTTCCAGGAAGTCTCTGTTCCTCCTTTGAGGATCATTCCACCAATATTTTCCTACTGACAGTGGTAAAAGTTTTAAATATTTTTAAAGACTATAGATATGCACGTGTATTTTGGTGCTGGAGGTCAGACCCAGGACCTCATTCATGCTAGGCAAGAACTCTACCATTGAACTACATCTCCAGCCCTAAAGACTATTTTTGTTTCTTAGGAAAAAGAAAATATTAGGGGCTGGGGCTTTAGCTCAGTAGCAGTGTGTGGCACTGGGTTCCATCCTCAGCACCACATCAAAATAAACAAGTAAAATAAAGGCATTCTTTCTACCTACCACTATAAATTTTTTTAAGGAAATACTAGTGAAAATAGTTATAAAATAATTGTAAGATATAAAAGACTTACCATCTTAACCTTCATTTGTACTTTAAAATAGGTTTTTTTTTTTAAATAAGTTAGATCCTTTTGAGCACAAGAGACTAGCACAACATAAATTTATCTCAGATTAAATTGCATTGTCTTTTTTTTTTTTAAAGAGAGAGGGAGAGAGATAGAGGGAGAGAGAGAGAATTTTAATATTTATTTTTCAGTTTTCGGCGGACACAACATCTACTTTTGTATGTGGTGCTGAGGATCGAACCCGGGCTGCACACATGCCAGGCGAGCGCGCTACCACTTGAGCCACATCCCCAGCCCCTAAAATAGGCTTTTAAAAACTTTTCTGGACTAGTCAAAATTCAGGAAGAAAAGAGAAGGGGAGAAAGATTCTTACAAGATTCTCCCCTTTTCCACAAATGTTTACTCATAACATTTTAAAGTTATCTTAATAGGTAAATTCTCTGAGAATCATAAGTGAGATTCATAAATTCATAGTTAGTTCTCCTTGGAACTGCGTATTTCTTAGTATAATGACGCTTGTTAGTCATGAGGATCTGTCTGGGAAACCAGTGATCTTTAATGGAGAAAAAAAATGACTACAGACGGGCTCTTCCCACTCCCCACACTGTAGTATAGGTGGGTAAGATACTCAGCTTTTGGGGCTTCATTTTTCTTGCCTTAAAATGGGAATAAAAACACCTTTCTCATAGAGTTGATGTGAGGATTAAATGAGGTCACACATGTAAACTGCACTAAGACCATGGTAAAATATCAAGATTAGTTATTAATATTGTTTTTGTGGCAGATACCTCAAAGCTGCTGATGTAGCCTGATGAGGTGGCACACACCTATAGTCTCAGTATCTCAAGAGGCTGAGGCAGATGGATTGAAGGTTCAAAGACAACCTCAGCAATTTAGTAAGGTCCTAAGCAACTTAGCAAGACTGTGTCTCAAAAAGGGCTGAGGATTTTGTTCAGTGGTTAAGCACCACTGGGTTCAATTCTTGGTAACCACCATCCAACACCAAAAAAAAAAAAAAAAAAAAAAAATCAAAGCTGCTGAAGTATGGAGAGCTTCCAAACTGCACTTGAACTATTTTCAAAACTTGGGAAGTACAAGGATAAGAGCTCCATTATCTCTTGGTTAGAGTCACAAAAACCAGAGGCATGGAAGGGAGGGGGGGATGGGGGTGAATGTGGGAGGAACTGAAACAACAGGGAAATAAACAACTTTGAGAAGTTGGGGAGGATAGAGAGGCAAGAAAAATAGGAAATAGGATACTTGAGGATTTTTTTATGTAATGTGACTGTCTTCTTTTTAAGGAATTGATTTAAAATCTCAGTATTTGATAATATTACATTCACCCATGTAACATACCCTGACGGGAAACAGTGCTTAAATCTTATTAGATGCTGGAAATTCAGTAACTGTCTTAACTTCTATCAGGGCAAAGACTGGATTCAAGGGTTGATGCCAACACTCTCATAGTGGAGTTAGTTAATGCCTGGCACCAGCACATATAGAAGTGTGAAAGTGGTAAGTCATTTCACCTCTGAAATTGTTTCATCACCTGTGAAAAGGAGGCAACTACTTAACTAACAAGACGTTGAGATTAAACTATTCCTAGCACCTGTCACTTCGAGAGATGCATTTTCTATTGTATTTTATGTCAATGGAAAAAGGCTTTACAATTACCACATATTTAAACATTTACAGTGTTATCAAATATGTTTGAATAAGCCTTGTCACTGTAATGTCTTAGTGGGATTTAATATTCTTAACTACTACCAATACCAATTCATTATTAACTGAATTTTGAACATATTTTCTTCCCCTCACGCGTACACCCAAGATGCTCTAAAACATATCTTGAGCACAATTTACGAACACGACGGCCACCTATAAGCCTTGACTTACAGGATACTAAAGACCGATTAATTGGAATGATTCTAGTGAATCTACACACTTCTTTGGAGGTTTGCACAGCTCCTAGTGCTGCACTATCAAAGCTTAACAGCTCTTAAGCAGCGGTCGCTATGCCTAGGAAAGGCGCGCAACACTCCCATGTGATAGCTCCACTTGTTTTTTTTTGGTTATTTCTGCACCCGAGTTCATGTCCCCGAGAGAGGAAGCGCAGTATTCCGCCTAACATTAAACAGAAGAGCACGAATTCGTTGTGGAGTGCTAACGAAGGACTTCAGCACCAGAGTAGTTAGGCACTCGCGGCAGACCGGGCGCAGCCTTAGGAAGCCGGTGCAGCACCCCCTCCCCCGGAAGTTTGCGAGTCTCTGTAGCGAGGTCTGGGAGTCACCTTGACCCTCCCGCAGAGGTGGAGAAAGTTAGCCTTGGGCTAGAGGCAGGGCGAGTGAAACCAAAGACAGAGCACTTTCGTGAACAAAAAGTGCCGTCACGTTTTCCTGTTCTCAGGGTAACTAAAGACCTAGCGAGTTTAAGAGTGACAAGAGCAGGTGGCAGGACTCCGCCCACCACCAAGCTTCTCCTCCAGCTCGCACGCTTCACTCGCGCTGCGAGATCCCGCCTCTGAGGCGCGCGCGAAGAGCCATCGAGCTGTGCACACTGGGAATTGTAGTTCCTGCGCGGGTAGCCACCTCAAGAGAAACGACTCCGGCCTACGTGCCCCATAGTGCCTTGCGACGCTGGCCGCTCCCGGATGCGTGCCTGGCGCCGGAAGAGAAGACGGCCCCCCTCTCTCGGCCCGGCCATCTTGTGGGAAGAGCTGAAGCAGGCGCTCTTGGCTCGGCGCGGCCCGCTGCAATCCGTGGAGGAACGCGCCGCCGAGCCACCATCATGCCTGGGCACCTACAGGAAGGCTTCGGCTGCGTGGTCACCAACCGATTCGACCAGTTATTTGATGATGAATCGGACCCCTTCGAGGTGCTGAAAGCAGCAGAGAACAAGAAAAAAGAAGCCGGCGGGGGCGGCGTTGGGGGACCTGGGGCCAAGAGCGCAGCTCAGGCCGCGGCCCAGACCAACTCCAACGCGGCAGGCAAACAGCTGCGTAAAGAGTCCCAGAAAGACCGCAAGAACCCGCTGCCCCCCAACGTTGGCGTGGCTGACAAGAAAGAGGAGACGCAGCCGCCCGTGGCTCTTAAGAAAGAAGGTAAAGCCGGGGTAGGAGGTGGGGAGTTCCGAGGTAGAGGGAAGGAGAGAGGGGACTGCCACTTGCTTCTGGAGCCCCGAGGCTCCGCGAGAGACTTTGCCGCCGATTTCTCCACGTTTTCCCCACGCGACAAAAGCCAGGTCCTGCGAAGGTGCTGGGAGCTTGGTAGTCCCAAGTTCACGCCGCCGCCGCCTGCAAGGTTCGCGGAGCCACCCCCTTCCCGCCCCTGACTGGGAACAGGGAGCGTGCGAGCTCGGGTGCTGCGGGGCTGACGCCTTCCCGCCGGATTCCTTGGCGGGCGAGCGCATGGGCTGAGTGAGGGGAAGCCAGCCGCTTTTTAGCAGCCTCTTGCAGTTGCTGAGAAGCTTGGGATCCACAGCTGCTTCCTGGGCAGAACTCTTTCTCAGCGTGCTCCTGTGAAGTGCTGGTCTCTGCTTTGGGATCCTGTCCTGCCATCTTGTCCCATGATGGCGCAGGGTACCCCAATAGAAAGCTGGGGCTCATAGTTTCTACTTGAGCCCCTTCTGTGCTCAAGGCTACTAGATATTGTGAAGTAAGATGCTGTTTGAGGTGCCATCTGTGCTTTATTGTTCCCCTCCTCTGCTTTAACTCGTACAATATTATTATAAGTTGCTTCAATGAATTATACTCTTGGAGAGAGGAATTTGGCTACACTCGCTTAAGCTGAATGCTGAATGAAGACTGGTTATTGCAGGAAATCTTGAGGCTTGCCGTCGTGTCAAGATCCATTCTCCCGACTGTGCACTCACCATTTCAAATGGTCTGACTTGGTCTGGACCTCGTGGGTGAAAGAGTGCAGAGGCTGTCAAACCTTTCCGCTGCACACCTCTTTAGAGCGCAGCTTTTCCTCAACATGTGCGTGAAGCATGGTCAGGATTTTGCAGGCAGGCAGTTGTAGTTCCAGGGCACTGAGTTTTACAGGGTTGTAATTTTTGTATTCTTCCTCCTTACTAGTTTCTTGTGAATGAAAAAGAGCAAAACAGTTGGGGATAAGAAAAAATCGAGTATGATCAGTAGCAAGTAGATTTCAGGAATCTTTAGAATTGCCTTTATATGTTGAAAGTTGAAATTACTCCTTGCTGCCACGTGCTCCTGAAAGTGGTTGTTTCTCATTAGCTTGTGCTAGGTATCTCTTAGAATATTTTTAAATGGTCTTTTGTGGGGATTGGAATGAAAAAATTTAGGATCTAGGTGGTGAATAGAAGGAAAGAAAAAATTCCTGAGTTAAAATTATAGACTGGAGAGAAGAAGGCTTAAGTTGTAGTATTAGAAAGCATGTATACACCACTTAGGCCAAGTATCTATTCAGCCAATTAAGCTTTATGGCAGTCTTATCACAGTTGAATAAAGCATTTAATTCCAGTGTTAAGGAACTCTGGCTTGTGTGATTAATTACACTATGCTGATCCTTGATCACACTAATTCAAAGAAATTACATGAAAAAAATGAGTCTAAAACAAATCAAAGGTGCACCTGATGAATGTATTCATTTTAAATGTTCAAAGCATGAAACATGATTTAAGTACTTAAGCTGTTTTGACCATGAAGCACATCCATGAAATGAGTTCTTATTTCATGTTGCAGTTGTAGGAAATTATTTTGTAAATTTATAAGGAGGATTAATTTTGACATTCTTTCCTTGGGAAAACTATTCCATATTAGCTATCAATATTTTCCTGAGTATCTCAGAGCACTTGCAGTTTTAACCTGAAATTGGATAAAACACAAGCTTATAAATGTAGGGAAAATGTTGGATGACAAATACTCATTTTCAAAACCTTTCACCTCTCAGTATTCTGTTATTGAGGAGAGACAGACCTGTAAACAAAATCCCTATTCTTAGTACTCTGATCCACCCATGTTGTGTGCCTTTTTGATCACAATTCTAGATGTACTTTATAGAATTGTTTAATGTTTGTCTTATGCAAATTTTAGAGTTTGTTCTTTGTGCATTTGAAGAAATTGAGAATTGATAAAGTAGAAAGTCACTGAGTGTAGTGTAGGCTTTTGGTGTATGGGATGTGTGTGTAATAAAAAGTGTGGAATCTAGTGCACTTGATTTGTGAGTATAGATAAGTACATCAGAAGAAGCTTGCATTTTTTAAAAAAAATCAATCATTTCGTTAGATGAGTTTATTTTTTGTGTTGGCAATAAGTTTTTTTTAGATTTTGTAGGACTAATGCTGAATGTTGGGTGGGGAAGCCAGTCATTGTTCATTTGGGTGTGTTTGGCTTGGATATCATTATAAGGACTAGTTGCATAGCTCCGCCCCAACCATTATACTTCTGATGAAATTTATTAAAATGTTTTGGTGTAAGGTCTGTATTTGTGGTTTGTCCTGAGAGTTTTCAGGGATTGAAGCTTAAAGTTTTATTTAAAAAAAAAATAGATAATTGCAGTTTTGTTCTAGCTACAGGCATGTGAGCAATTGGATATATAGTGATGGTATTTTACTTTCTTCGAAAGAATCAACGTGAAGTAATTTAAGATCTTGTAAAATCCGTTTCTCAGCTTATTTTTGACTTTGTCAGAACTGACTTGGGAATTACAGCATACTTGGAATTTTAGTCATGTATTTAACCATCATCTATTTATTCCTAAGGCCATCAGTAATTCATATTGGTTTCCTTATTGGGCTGTAGTCCTCAGACATTAACAGGAAAACAGTAGTAATGGGAAAAATCAGTAAGTCCTTCAGCTGTCATTTAGTGCCATAAGTTTCCTCTGTGTGTACATGCTGATCCTAGGGCCTTGCACATGCTAACACATGCTGTATCACTGAACTACACCCTTATTCCCCCTATTTTTTTTATATATTGCTTAAAGTGTTTTTTGTTTTTGTTTTATTTCCTGATTCTTTGGGGGGTGGGGTGGGGAAGATACTTTTGCAAGTGCCCCACCCTGAACTATACCCCCAACCTAATATTTTTTATTAAGGGACTGACATTTTGGAAAGAGTAATGGCTGCCCAAATGACTTCTAAGGCATTATAGAAAATGCTTGCTGGGGGTGGCAAACTAGATTTAAGATAAAAATAAATAGGAATTTCCTTAAAGTACTTTGTTATACATTGGGGATGCCCAGTGTTTGCCTGTTTAATAGCCTTGGCCTAAATTTTGTTTTTGCAAAGATAATTTATTTCTGCTGGTTATTTGTCCTTTTAGGAATAAGACGTGTTGGAAGAAGACCTGATCAACAACTTCAGGGTGAAGGGAAAATAATTGATAGAAGACCAGAAAGGCGACCGCCTCGTGAAAGGAGATTTGACAAACCACTTGAAGAAAAGGGTGAAGGAGGCGAATTTTCAGTTGATAGGTAAGATTTTAAAAGGAAGTCTCTTCACGTTTTGTTGGCTATGTTTACATCTTAACATGAAGCTATAAATTGGGCATAATTTCCAGGTAGCAAGCAGTGTTACTGATTATTTCTGTCATTTTTTTCCAGAGAAACATCTTGAATGTGAGGATTTACTTAGACCTTTGGATAACATTTGAAACTTAGATCTTTTTTTCCCCCCTTACTCTCCCTAGGTGTTTTTAAAAGGATAATATTGTTGGTTAATTGCTCGTAGTAAAACAAATTACCTGATATATAGGTTATATGTATTTTAAGTGTATTGGTGAATAGCAGGTTCGATACAGTGAATAAAAATGAAAAGGTATATGCACTGATAGTGTTTTACAAAATGCTAAAATAATTTGTGGGGAGAGGGTTTTCACAGTTCACATGTTTAGAAATACACTTAAATTTTCTGAAGTATGTATTTAGCTGTTGGGTTATGAGCCAGTAAGCATGTTCTGTATTTTTGAGCTTTTCTGTCCTATTCCTTTTTCTTGAAACCTCAAAGGTATACTTTTAAAATTTGTATTGTAGACCAATTATTGACCGACCCATCCGAGGTCGTGGTGGTCTTGGAAGGGGTCGAGGAGGCCGCGGACGTGGAATGGGTCGAGGAGATGGATTTGATTCTCGTGGCAAACGTGAATTTGATAGGCATAGTGGAAGTGATAGATCGTAAGTCTTATATTGGTTGTTATTTCATTTATACATTTTAATGTGTTAATTTAATACAAAATAAAATTTGAATTTCTAAAACTAAAGAGTATTATGTTAACTCAGTTTTGTTAGTTCTTTTTCACATTACAGTGGCCTGAAGCATGAGGATAAACGTGGAGGTAGCGGATCTCACAACTGGGGAACTGTCAAAGATGAATTAACGTTGGTATTCTGATTTTTAAAAATTTCAGTACTGATCCTTTACTAGATACAAGTTTAAAACAAGTTTTCTGGAGATAACTATACGTGTATTAAATTTTGTTTCTGAGATAGAATGTATGCTGTAGTCTCAACTATTATTGAATAAGATAATGTCTTATGGGATAGTTTGGGTTATACTATATTGAATGACCAATTTTTCTACACATCAGTATGTTACTGTTTTTTTTGTATGAATATATAGCTTTTCATTGGAATTATTTGGATGTTCTAATTTGAGTTTAATAAGTCCTATTCTAACTACTGGACTTTAATACTTAAAAAATGATAAGCCAATACAACTTTGATTTAAAAGTATGTGAACTAACTTAACCAGTGGTTTATATTGTTTTTCTCTAGTAGAGAATTTTAGCAGGAAAACTTAATGTAGAAATTTTTGTTATTGTATGCAAACTCTTTCAACTACATGTAAATGGACCTAGATGCTTTTCTTTTTCTTTCTTTCCTTAGAGAGTCCCCCAAATACATTCAGAAACAAATATCTTATAATTGCAGTGACTTGGATCAATCAAATGCGACTGAGGAAACACCTGAAGGTGAAGAACATCCAGTGGCAGATACTGAAAATAAGTAAGTGATTTTGTATGAGGTGGTAATGCTATATAACTTTGAAATCAGTCTGGTTAACCAATAAGGTAACTCAGATCTAATACTGTTATTTAATGCTTCTTTGATAAAAATATTTTTGTTGTCCTCTCATCAAATAATATTTAAAATAGTGCTTTATACCTACATGTAAGGTTGGCTCTAATGGTTTGAAAATGGGATATCTTAATGTTAACTTCCATTTGATTAGTTAAATACCATTATTATAAGGGAGTGTATATATTTTAGTAAAACCTACTAATCCTAACCAATGGGGAAAAAAGATCTATTGTAACCTGATAATGGAAAAATAGGAATAAGGTGCTGTGCACCTGTAATTATCTAATTTGATAGAAATGTTTTAATTCTAAGTGGTAGTTGTCCTAAAACATTGAATAGGTAAAACTAGAAGCTAAAGTAGGGGATTTCTAAAAATTAGTGTGAGTTGTTGGGGTAACAGGAACTCATAGTACTTAACTCAAGTCTGAAGTAATTTTGACATTTTACAGTTGTATAGTTTGAAATTAGACAATTAAAACTAGAATATATATTGATTTTAAAATTCCATCTCTGTTTTTTTCTATTAACATAGAATTTGGAACATACTATCACTAATGTAAGAGGAGCACAAAAGATGAAAACGTTACTAATTCACTAGCCTTCTTCCCTGTCACCTGCCCCACACAGGTGGCTTCTTTTTTTTTTGGGGTGCTGGGGATTGAACCCAGGACCTTGTGCATGCAAGGAAAGTACTCTACCAACTGAGCTATGTTCCTAGCTCCTACTCAGCCTTCTTAATGTTCATTTTCTGATTTTAAAGTTTTTGTTTTTTCAAGGGTGAGAGTTGTTTTAAGATTAAAAGTTATCCTGATAGAAATAATTTACCTCCATAGCTGGGCCCAGTGTCACACAACTATAATCCCAATGGTGTGGGAGGCTGAAGCAGGAGGATTATGAGTTCAAAGCCAGCATTAGCAATTTAGTGAGGTCCTTAACAACTAGACTTTGTCTCTAAATAAAATATAAAAAAGGAGATAGTGGATAGGGATGTGGCTCAGTGGTTAGGTGGCCCAGGCTTCAATCCCCAGTATCGGAAAAAAAAAAAAAGAATTTACCTTCCTAATACTTTTTATCAGTCCAAGCATAAGTTATATCCTAGTCATTTGTTTTAGTAAGTTGTGATTTAAAGTCTTGGATTATAGATTATTTTGGTCAGTTTCTTTTTCCTGAAAATGTTTAGTTGATATGTAATAATTTTATGTATTTATGGGATTCTGTGTAGTATTAATAGTCTGCCTTATTTGTAACAGTCCTCCAGTTCCATCAATGTTAACTGCAAAAATAGGATTTCATTCTTTTTATGGTTGAATAATATTTGATTGTGTGTTTATATACCACAGTTTGTTTATTCTTTTTTCATCAGTGGACACATTGGTTGATTGTATGTCTTGGTTGCTTTGAATAGTGCTGCAATAAACATGGGGTTCAGGTGTCTCTTTGACTTACCAATTATATTTTTCTTTAGGTACATAACCATTCTTTTCTTTTGGGGACTGCTTTCCATTAAAGTTGTACCAATTTAAATTTCCACTGTGTGTGAGTTCTCTTTTCTCTGCATCTTCACCAGCATTTTAAAATTTTTATCTTCTTTTTTTAAAAAATCAATTGTTTTTTATTTACATGTGGTGCTGAGAATCGAACCCAGTGCCTCAAGTGTACTAGGCAAGTGCTCTACCACTAAGCCATAACCCCAGCCCAGTTTTTTATCTTCTTGATAATAGCTCTTCTAACTAGGGTGAAATATCATGTCTCATTGTGCTTTTGATTTTCATTTTGCAGATGATTAATGATGGTTGGCATTTTTTCATAACTTGGCCATTTGTATATCTTTGAAGAAATGTCTGTTCATATCATTTTCCCATGTTTTTGATCAGATTATGTGTTATTTTGATATCAAATTGAGTACGGTATGCATTCTTGCTAATCCTTTGTTAGGCAAATAGTTTGCAAATATTGTAAATATTTTCTTCCATTCTGTAGGTTGTCTCTTCACTTTGGTTGTTTCCTTTGCTGTGTAGAAGCTGTTTAGTTTAAAGTAATTCCATTTGCCAATTTTTTGTTTCTATTGCCTGCGCTTTTGGGGTCATATCCAAAAAAGCTTTGTCTGTGCCAGTTCCCTGAAGTATTTCTTCCACTTAAGTCTTTGATCCATTTTGAATTGTTTTTTGTGATTGGGGATCCAGTTTCATTTTCCTGTCTTCCTAGACTGTTTTTCCAGCACTATTTATTAATTGAAATGATTGTCCTTTTTCCAGTGTATATTCTTGGTATCTGTCAAAAATCAGTTGGTTCTAAATATATGGATTCACTTTTTAGTTCTTTGCTCTGTTTCATAGGCTCTGTGTCTTTTTATGTAGGTCAGTGGTTCTGTGTTCAGAGACAACATCCAAATCAATCAGTGAAAGGATGCCCTTTCTACATTCTTCCTTTTTCCAGGAAGAAAATTGCTCTTATGAACTTCTGTTCATGATAGGGAGCATTATATTCCCTGGGCCTGTTGGCATAAGGAAAAGTTGTTTACTGTTGGAGAGAGTAGATAAAATGCATGATATTAGGAAGTGATGTTTTGCGCTTGGAGTAATATTTATTTGAAACTATGGAATCATAATTTTGTGTGATAAACAATGAAATAGTAATTTAAGTTAGATGAACTCAGTGTAACATTATTCAGCACAACAATTGCTTTAATAAAGAGCTTGTGATCAATTCACTTTGAGTGATCCACAAAGATCGTAACTATTTTCCAGAAGGAAATGATGCATCAGTAGGGTATTGGAGACAAATCCTTAACTCAGGACCCAGGAGTGAAATCGGTGATCATTGGTGTAAAGAAAATAATGATCACATCAGAGCAGTCTCTACTCTTATTCTAATAATTTAAAAAAAAAAGGTACCAAGGATTGAACCCAGGGGTGCTTAATCATTGAGCCACCAAGTTGCTTGGGGCCTCGCTAAGCTGCTGAGGCTGGATTTGAATTTGAGATGCTCCTGCTGTAGCCTCCCAAGCTGCTAGGTCTACTCTTTAGAGTAGGGGAGAAATTGAATATGGTATTGTGCTTTGCATATGGAAATGTAAATTTAATAAGTACATCCTAACTCATAGTTTCCAGAGCTTCTGTTTGGTTCTCATTTGATTCTTACAGTGATCAAAGGTATGCTAAATTCTGACCTTGGCTGTGTCACAATTAAGGACCAGGACTGGTTTGTATATATGTATGTATTTGGTATGGGGATTGAACCTGGGGCACTTAACCACTAAGCCAGAGAGCCACATCCCCAGCCCTTTTTTGTATTTGAGTCTTGCTGAGTTGCCTAGAGCCTCACTAAGTTGCTGAGGCTGGCTTTGAACCCCATCAGTTATGTATAAACTTCTAGGAAGTTTCAAAATGGGGTTTGTATAAAAGCAAAGAGTGGCTTCAGGAGAGAAATTTGAGTACTAAGGCTAACTAAATCACTTGCTATCTTTGGAAAGACGCTAGGTTCCTAAAATAGCAGACAAGTTGTTTGGTGACAATTGGAAATTTGAGATTAGACTAAAATAATGGATTTCTAGTGCTTTGTTTAAAAAAAAAAAAGAGGAAAGGCTAACAATAAAGTAGTTATAACCTGAGAATTACATTTGGAAATAACTAATTTGTTATTAAATATTGAACAGTTTTAAGAACAGTTTTGACAACCAGTGAAACTTCAGTCTTCTATTCCATATTCAGGTTGGTTTGAAAAGTTGGAGTAGATTTTAGGATTTGTGGAAACTTTTGTTTTACTTTGCCTTGAGTACAGGTTGCTAGAATAAAGAGAAACATTTCTTTTATATTGCACAATGTGAAGTCTGGTGTCTCACTGTGCATCTTAGATCATAACCCGTTTTGAGTTATATATTGTGGGGGATTATGGAAAATGAAAACACATTTTAGGAGAAGATATTTTAACCATATCAAAGGGTACAGTTTTAAAGAAGTGTAAGGAATAATAAGGCCAATTAAGATTGTGTTACTGATAAGAAATCATTTAAGAGTTTATGAAGAGCTGAGCATGTCATGCACAACTTTGATACAAGCAGATTGGGAGATTGAGGCTGAAGGATTGCAAGTTTGAGGCCAGTCTTAGCAGTTTAGACCCTGTCTCAAAATAAAAATGATTAGCGGGCTGGGGCAGAATGCCTAGCACTTGAGGCACTGGGTTTGAACATTAGCACTGCATAAAATAAAATGAAGGCATTCTGTCCATCTAAAACTACAAAAAAAGATTAAAAAAGAAGATGATTAGGGATGTAGCCTAGAGGTAAAGTGTCACTGGGTCCAATCACCAGTTAGCCCCCCGCCCCACACCGCCCAAAATAAAAGGTATATGAAGATATATTGTATAATCCTCAGATGCTTATGCTTATCAAGGAACACTGAATTCTTGGTCTCTGTCATGTTATATGTTAGTCATTGGATTACATAGAAAAACTAATACCTTTGCCCTTGGATATGATAATTTTTCTCTAAAAGATTACTACCCAGTCATTATTAATTTCCTTATAATATATTTGAGGTATTTTAGTAAAAATTATGCCAATTGTCTACCAGGTATAAAATTTAAACATCTTTTCATAGGGAAAACGAAGTTGAAGAAGTTAAGGAAGAGGGTCCAAAAGAGATGACTTTGGATGAATGGAAGGCTATTCAAAATAAAGACCGTGCAAAAGTAGAATTTAATATCCGAAAACCAAATGAAGGTGCTGATGGGCAATGGAAGAAGGGATTTGTTCTTCATAAATCAAAGAGTGAAGAGGTAAAATTAAAATTTGTGATGTTTGAAAATGTTCAGATGTGATTTGAACTGTTTATAGTTTTCACGTTAAATTTCATATGGAAAATATTTTTTGCAAAAGCTTTACATAGGATCATTTGGGACAGATAACTTGCTCAAAAGGGAAACTAAATTACTATGCTATAAGAAATTTAGTTTATTAATCTATAATTGTATTCAATATAGTAGTATTTTTTCTAAAAATCTCTTAATGGCTTATTGAATGACTTGGTGGTTTTTAAAAATATTTTGTTAGTTGTCAGTGGACCTGTATTTTATTTATATGTGGTGCTGAGAATCAAACCCAGTGCCTCACACATGCTAGGCAAGCACTTTACCATTGAGCCACAACCCAGCCCTGACAGTGTTTTTTAAAAATATTTCTTCTTAAAGCTGTAGTTTAATTGAAACGTTGGCATTTTCTTATGGTTTAACCTAAAAAATAAGGGGCTTCATTCGTTCTTTCTTTGTTAGAACTGGATATTGAACCTGGGGGCATTCTACCATTGACCTATATCTGGAGGGAGGGTGGGTGGGTGTGTGCCCCCAGTGTGTGTTTTGAGATAGTGTTTTGCTAAGATGATAAGACGGGCCTTGAATTTGGCAATCCTGCCACCTCCCAAGTAGTTGGGAATATAGGCATGTACCAACGTGCCTGGCTAATACCCACTCTTTAAGATTGTCTGGCTGTGCATGTGTAATGGTTAGAACGCTCAGTAAATGCTACAAATGCTGCTCTTTATGGAAGATGATCTCTTATGAAGATCAAATGATCAATTTATGAGTTTCCTTTTTTCTTTGAGAAACATGGAATCTAATGAAAATATTTTAGAAAGTCACATTGGTAGCTTTTTATTTGGTAGCTTCTGTTCAAGCTTTGGGGCGTGTTCTTACAGGAATTGTCCCGGTGTTACATCCTATTAAGGTTTGTGTAAGTATGGGATCTTGGCCAAAATACTACATTATTTCTTCTAAATTCTTTTCTCTATTAACTTTTAACCTTTTGACATTTGTTCTTATTCGTGTCATAAATCTGACTACCAGAAATCCAAAGTAAGCTTTAAAGTGTTAAGAAGGCATCAGCAACCCATAATAAAAACGAATTCAGTAAGATTTTATATATTTACTTTTAGTGCTGGGGATTGAACTTAGGGCGTCACAGGCCAAACAACCTCTACCATTAAGCCCCTCTGCCCACCAAGTCCTTAGTAAGATCTTTATTAAACATAAAAATGACAATGAGACAAGCTTGAGAAACATGAATAATATTGAGGTTTAAAATACCAGTATATTTTAAGTTTAGAGAAAAAATGATTTTTAACATTCTTATCTTTTGGGTGTCCCAACTGGTCTTTTCCCCATACAATTTTCCTCAAATTGTAATTTTAGGTAATTTCATTAATATCCTACAGTTCATGCATATCATGGACATTAGGCTAGTTCTCCTGATTTTAAATATTTTAATATTGAGCTTTTCAAAAATAACTACAGTAGTGCCCCCTTACCTGTGCTTTATTTCCAGAAATACACAATCAAATGTAAATTTCATTCATTCTTTCTGAGTAGTATGATGGAATCTCACGCTTTTTAACTCTTGATCCAGGGATGTAAATCATCCATTTGTCCTGTGTACCCACGGTGTGTACACTACGTGCTAGTCATTCAGTAGCCTGCGTATAGGAAAAAACAATATTTGTAGGATTTGGTACTGTCTGTAGTTCAGGCAATCCCTAGTAGATAGTCCCCTGTGGATTGGGGGACTACCAAATTGTATAAGGTAAGATTCGACATTTCTAAAAATTATAAAATGTGAAATTGGTAATGAATAACTTTGAAATTTAATACACATTAAGTCACTCCTAAGTGTTTGTGTCTTTGAATTAGTCTTTGTGAATCAGGCCTAGCCTTTCCATTCTTGAATATTTTGGCCTTCAAGAATATTGTATATAGGGCTGGGGATGTGGCTCAAGCGGTAGTGCGCTTGCCTGGTATGCGTGCGGCCCGGGTTTAATCCTCAGCACCACATACAAAGAAAGATGTTGTGTCCGCCGAAAACTAAAAAATATTAAAAATTTAAAAAAAAAAGAATGTTGTATATAATACTTTTATGTGTCTTCATGACAAATGTGAGGTGGGGGGGAAACATGGCTGTAGAAATGGAGAGCTGAGTTACTGTGTTACTGATAGAACTGAAGGGTGCTATTTCTTGTTATGATTCTCTAAATGCTCTAGAAAACTGCTAGATTTTTTTTTCCTATTCTAGTAATTGCCTTAAGAAGTTAGAGATGTCCCTTGAACATACAAACTTTTTCTGCTGTAGCCACCAGTTATTTGGTTCTATTTTCCAGAAACTTAAGAAAGAGAGAAAAAGCCCTGTTAATGCATTGAGATCATTGATTTGAAATAGCAAGCACTTAAAAAGATTTGACTTTTAATTTGCTAGTGTTTTGTGGATTTACATTTGTTTTTGGTTCCTTTAATATTAAAAGAACCTTCTATTGCCTTTATATTGTGTAGAATAGAGATGACATTTGAGTATCCATGATGAAAGCATGGATGCAAAACAAAAATTTGTACTTTAAAAGCATAGTTTTTGACAGGATATTTAAGTTGGTTAGAAAGAACAAAATGTTCATTGTCCCTTCAGAAAAAGGTATAAATTATATGTATATTTGGGGGGAATACAATATAAATAGTGCAAGTAAACTTCTAGCTAGAAGATTGAAACCCCATACATCCCAAACATACAAGAAATGAGGTGGTAAGCATTATAAAGATTTTTTTCCTTTTAACCTTTTTCTCTCATATGTGAAAGAAAATCTGGATATTACAAACACTTCATTTTTAAGAAAGTTCCTTTGGTACCTTTAAGATGTGGGTTTTTTGTGTGCACAGCATTTCAGGGTTCCCCTCTTGTTTAGTATTTCACTTGAATTTATAGCTTTCCAGCGTACATGGAAATATGAGATAAAATGAAGGGAATTCTTACTATGAAATCAACTTTTGCTGAGTGCAAAGCTAACAAACCTAAGAGATGGTGATCACACAAAGTACAGGTTGTAGAGCTAGCATTTTTAGAAGAAAGCTCATTACTCAGAAAAATTTCCAACATGACTTTCTTATGCATTACCCAGTGACTCTTCCTTAACATTTATTAGGCTCACGCTGAAGATTCGGTTATGGACCATCATTTCCGGAAGCCAGCAAATGACATAACATCTCAGCTGGAGATCAATTTTGGAGATCTAGGCCGCCCAGGACGTGGTGGCAGGGGAGGACGAGGTGGGCGTGGGCGTGGTGGACGCCCAAACCGTGGCAGCAGAACTGACAAGGTAATCTTAAAGACTATCCCTTTCAAATAATGTAAGGACCTTTTCTAGTAAATCACTGGCTGAGTCCTTTTTGGAATATAGGAAGAAGTAGAAAAAGAAGTTCACATGCTTTCAAGAGTCAACATTTCAAATTATATTTTTGTTTAAAGTACTTACATGAGTTGTTTTTTTTTCGTTGTTGTTGCTAGGAATTGAACCTAGGGCCTTGTGCTTACGAGGCAAGCACTCTACGAACTGAGCTATATCCCCAACCCCACACTGTACTGAGTTCTTAGTAGGGGCTAGTCATAGTGTTATGTGAGGCTTTTTATATATTTCATTTAGTTGTTGTTACTGTGGTAACATCCTCATGGAGGAAATTGAGGTACAGGGAATCAAATTGATTCTAAGCATTTGCTGAGGTCTACCTGAAATATAAGTTTGTTTTCTTTAGTAATTTTGTACTGCTTTTTAGATCTCAACAACTAATATCACATTGGTGTTCATTGTACAGTTTATGTATGGCACATGATTGTAAGACCTTTTTTGTTTGTTTGTTTTTGATTTCTTACTAAACTGTTCTGTGAGAGCTGAGATATATTTTTGCTCTTTTGTAATCTCTTTAGTACCTTGCATAAAACAAATTCTTAAATAATTTGTAGATTCCCGGTAATTGGGTCAGATCTGCCTGATGGAAAAAATATTAGAGGTAATCTTTGAAACATTTTTGCCTATGGGGTTCAGGTTGTAAGTAACCTTCCTGAATTTTCAGCACCTGCTTTTTAAAAAAAGATCATATTGAGTCTGTCAGTGCTTAATTATAATGATAACAATAATTATGAGTTTTTATAGTTATCAATGATAATCTATTGAAGTGTATTTTTGTTTCCTCTGACACTTTCTTTTTAAAGACAAATGTGTTATATATGGCCCTGTGAATTGTTTTTACTTTTGTTGTTATGTGTACTTTAGGTTGTAAATAGCAGTTGAGCCCCCTTCCAGCATTGATGAATGTGCTGCTTAAGTGATTGCTAATTGATTTTGGGGGTGGGGGGGCTCGAGGACTGGGATTGAACTAGGGACCCTGTCATTGAGCTATATACACCCCAGACAAGGTCTTGCTAATAAGTTGCCAAGGCTGGACTCAACATGCAATCCTCTTGCCTTACTTTCCTGAGATGCTGGAATTAGAGGTGTGCACTGTGATTCCCAGCAGCTAATTGGTTTCTTGACCAGCTTTCATATTGATGCTTTTTTACTTGAGCAAGTGGAAAAAGTACAAGAATAGTAAACAACAAAGTGCACAAAAAAAAAAGTCTGTATCCCATCTAAATAGACCTGTAATTTAAAACAATCCATGCTATTACTAGGGGATTTTTATTCCAAACTTGAAATATAGTTGTGAACAGTGTATGCCAGTTAAAGCTTTCTTCACTTTATTTGTGTTTTTTGATTAAGGATTTAGATGTTCTCCCAATTACAAATTGGTTTTAAATATTGGACATAATATTAGTTTTAATACCTGCTTTGCATTTTCACACATGGTCAGATTTTTATAGGTTTTAATAGAAATTAATTAGGCTCACTACAGATATTTGTAGTTCTATTTTATGATTTTTGCTTTTAAGTAAGAGTTTTGCTACATTTTAATTAGTATTTTAATGTTTAAGCTTCTTTTTGATAGTTCTGATTCTAAATGCTGGCATTGGTAGTGTGTTTATAAATTTTGAGAATTGTTAATCTTAGTTTATTTCTTTTTCAGTCAAGTGCTTCTGCCCCTGATGTGGATGACCCAGAGGCATTCCCAGCTCTGGCTTAACTGGATGCCATAAGACAACCCTGGTTCCTTTGTGGACCCTCCTGTTCAAAGCTTTTGCATGCTTAAGGATCCCAAACGACTAAGAAATTTAAAAAAAAAAAAAAAAAAAGACTGTCATTCATACCATTCACACCTAAAGACTGAATTTTATCTGTTTTGAAAAATGAACTTCTCTCGCTACACAGAAGTAACAAATATGGTAGTCAGTTTTGTATTTAGAAATGTATTGGTAGCAGGGATGTTTTCATAATTTTCAGAGATTATGCATTCTTCATGAATACTTTTGTATTGCTGCTTGCAAATATGCATTTCCAAACTTGAAATATAGGTGTGAACAGTGTGTACCAGTTTAAAGCTTTCACTTCATTTGTGTTTTTTAATTAAGGATTTAGATGTTCCCCCAATTACAAACTGGTTTTAAATATTCAACATAAAATAGTTTTAATACCTGCTTTGCATTTTCACACACGGTCAGCTGGGACATGTAAACTTTGATTTGTCGAATTTTATGCTGTGTGGAATACTAACTACTTTATGTATTTTAACTTAGTTTTAATATTTTCATTTTTGGGGAAAAATCTTTTTTCACTTCTCATAATAGCTGTTATATATGCTAAATCTTTATATACAGAAATATCAGTACTTGAACAAATTCAAAGCACATTGGTTTATTAACCCTTGCTTCCTGCATGGTTCATTAGGTTCAAATTATACCCGATTCACAATTTCAACTATATTTACTTTCGAAATACGTGACTTTCCCATTTTAAAAGCCAAGCTAGACACTTTATTTGTGGAAGTTGTTTGAGCTACTTAGTGTTGATAAACACATCCTGTCAAGTGTTATGGATATAGGATTTCTACCCCCTCCAACAGGGTGAGTGGAATAAGTTGATTTGCTCTAATGGGTAATGTTTAGACTTCTGTAAAATAAGTGTCTGGCACTTGCTATGATTTTTGTTTGATAGGTCCCCAAATCAGAATGTTACATCTGTAATCAACAACCCTTTTAACCTTTCTTGTTCTGAAGAAACCAAAGGGCACTGGTTAGTATGGTGAGATGGGGAGAGTCTTCAATTTTTGAAATTTGGAAAGCAGACAGCTTTACTTTATAAGGTTGGAACAGCAGCACCATCCATAAAACATAAGCCAAAAATCTTTAACTGTTAATGATTTCCTATATTGTTACTATTTGGTCTTAAAATGATAGATGAATATTTGTTCCAGAGAAGGTGATAAATATCTTTTCCCTCTTCCTTTATTAGAAAATTAGGTAATTAATGGATTCCTTGAACAGGAGCATCACCACTTACTAAACACATGGATAGAATGATCAATAAACAGGTTGTGTAGGATATTTTTTTTTATTCTGCCACATTTATTGATTAAACAGGGAAGGAATTTTATTTAAAGTTTTAACTTCTGTCACTTGTCAGTTATTTTCTACCTCTGGTAAGATCCAGTTTTTAAAATATTGGAGATTTTAAATTTAACATGTCTGCTATGTAGTTGATTGGTTTTCACTTATACTTCTGAAAAAAAGATTGTACAGTACAAAAGTTATTCGTTTGGATTGGATGTATCAATCTACCTACTAGTCTTGACATCTTAGTAAGAGGTAATTGTTTTTTAGTGATGGATAAACTTGTGCTGGTGTTTTGGATCTTATGATGCTGAGCATGTTCTGCACTGGTGCTAATGTCTAATATAATTTTATATTTACAAAAAGGCCTGCTACCCAGAGGCAAGTATTAATTTAGTCCATATGGATTATTGACTCCTTTTGAAATTGCAACATACACACTCTTAAATCAGTGTGTTTAGACTTCAAGGATTCAACTCTTTTCTGAACATGTAAATCTCTTGAATTCCAGCAACATATTATAGAAAACATCTGTTATTCAAAAACACTTCAAGTTCCATTTGCTGTCAGCCATTGTCACTAGAGAACACACAGCAATATCTGGTATGTTGCAAGCTTTCAAGATAGCCTAAACTTGAAAAAGTTGATCCATTAGTTGTGTCTGATGGATGTGAATTTGCCTCCTAGTTCACTTTGTGTCAATAGCTAAAACTGTGAACCTAACTTTCTCTTATTCGTGGGTAATAACTGAAAATAAAGATTTATTTTCATGCTCACTTCTTAAAAAGTTATAAAAGCAATCAAATAGGAGCCCTCATTGTCATGTGTTTCCCAGTTTCTGACCTCTTCATACCCTCAAGATGTAATGCTCATTTAAGTTTTAAAAGTATTACATTTAGGTTTTATGTGAGGTTTTTATTTGATAAACTTATTTGGGAGAGATCCCCATCAGTGACAAAATTGGGAAAGTTTAAGTTCAGGTAAAATGAATTTCAAGGGTTTATGTGACGATTTTCATTTCTCTTAGAAAATCAAGTTTCCACTGGAAATCATAATGCCAGTTTTCAATGGCTAACTGGGTATAGTACTCTAGAGAGGAAATTTCTTAATGGATATAGGTTCCTTAAATAGTGTGACTGATGTTTTGGTGAGTTTTTATCTTGATGCTTTTAAATGAAAATAATATCAAGAACTGAAGCTTTTAAAGACATTTACAAGTATACTGAAATGACTGGGGGTATGGTTTACTAGTTGAATACTATTTTAAGACTTGAGTTATTTAAGCTCATAAAATGTGTCACAAGATAATGTACATCTAGTACCTTTATTCAATTTTATTTTTTAAAAATGGAAGTAAGACACATCATCTCCAGGGTTGTAAATATATTGGGGGCTTATTTTTGGTATGGGTTTGGAGGGAGAATATTAAGTATTCATTGTTATTTTTCTAATTGTTTGAGATTGCACTGAAATAGAAAAGTATTAATAGGTAGTTGCATACAAAGTCTAAATACTGTGTATTGAATTTTAAAAATGACTTTTAAGCACTAGCTGGTGGAAGAAACCAACAGGTATTAAAGTTAAAAAGGAGAAATGTGAAGTTGCTAGATCCTGACGTTGACTGAAAGGTAAGACTATGCAGGTACTTTAAAAGGACATTTGTCCCAACCTTCAGCTGATATACAGTTCTGCTTTCTAAAGAAAGTGCTTAGAAAATATATTCTAATTCGAACATTTGTAATGAGATTGATGTGCAAGTGATTGTTAAACCCTACTGAATGCCTGATCCAAGTTTACTGAGAGCCCAGAAACTTGATCATTATTATCTTTTTGGCAAGCCTGTGCCTAGTAGTAAAGGCAGTAAAGTAGTACCTGATTAAACTTTTGCAGCCTAGTAATAATCTATCAACATAATTTGCAAGACAAATTTATTAGGGCTTTGTCATTTGTTTTTCAGTGTTGGGGATTGAACCCAGAGCTGCACACATGCCAAACACTAGTACTGAGCTACATCCCCAGTCTGTCAGGGTTTGTTGAGACGATGGCAGCTGTAAGAATTTTGGGTGGTTACTTTTTGCTTAGCTGTGTGGGTTGAGAGATACCATTTACCTTGGGCATGATTCTTTGAACCTGAGACCCTAGTTGGTTTTGAAGTTTGAGAATTGATAAAGTCAGGTGGAGCAATTAAATCCAAGAATATAGTGAAACAAGATTATAACCTGTGCATAAGAAGCTTAAAGTGCTATATCTAAACAGTCTGTCAGCAAACTTTAGCCTGTGGTCTGTTTTTTACATTCCTGAGTTTTCGTTTTTCTTTTTTTGTGGTGCTGGCATTTGAACCCAGAGCCTTAGAAATACTAGGCTGCACTCTTATCACTGCATTCCTGAGGTAAGAATGGTTTTTAATAGTATTGAAGGGTTAAAAAACACAACAACAACAACAAAACCCCCCCCAAATGTTGGTAGTCCACAAAGCCTTTGTGTAGCCCTTTCCATAAAGTGTGTGCTGTATTCTTACTCAAGCTGTTTCTTCCAGGTCAGCATCTAAGAGCTCTTTGAAAATAAAACAGTTCAAGGTACAAGCTAGATCCTACCTCACAGGAAGTTATGAAATAAATTCATACTTTGATGTCTATAATCAGGAAAGGGATGAGTTAACCTGATGGCTTTTTAAGGCTGATTTTGTTTCTTCAAATAAAAATTGTCTAGCAACTTAAATGTATGGATCTGCTATAAAAGTTATCACAATACCATTAGGTTTCACATTTAGTAGTGCTCATATCAATGCTCAGGTGTTGCTAATCAGTTTTTCCATAAGAATTATTCATATCTTACATAGGCAAAAAACAAAAACAACCTGGCACCAAATTAATGATTTCTCATAACAGTTTTTCTGCCTGACATGGTGGCATACCTGCCTGTAATCCTAGTCACTTGGGAGGCTAAGGCAAAAGGATTGCAAGTTAAAAGGTCAGCCTGCCAACTTGTACTCAAAAAGTAAAAAGGACTGGGGATGTAGGTCAGTAGTTGAGCATCCCTGGATGTCATCGTCTCAACAAAACCGGGCAAAATTTTTATAGCGTTTGTGATAGGTACTAAGTAACTGGGAGTCCACTTTTAAATAGAAGGAAAAGGTGAGAAGTGACAGTTGAAAGTTGGAAATTTGCAGTCCTTGAGTTATTAGGTATCAAGTCAGTAACATCCCTTTTGCTGCCCCTGTGGGAGGTTATGGCAGTTCCTATTGTATTTGCATAGATAATTCCTAGGTTTTGTATGTGGAAGACAAACTGTAGATGATTGGTTCACACCATGTGAACCAGGTCTGAGACAACTACTGTGAACTGACCTTGTGGCCTTTATTTCTTAAGTTTATTACCTGTTACTGGTGTGGAAATGTTGAGTGAAGGGCTGATATTCAGGATTCTGATGTTAGGAGAAAACGGGAAGTTGCTTTGGACAATTCTATTGGTTTATACCGTATCACTTCAATTGTGGTAGCTGATTCTTGCCATTTGCCTGAAATCAAATTGGGACTAAATATTCTATTAGCTAATGAGTAATGTCAGAAAATTTTTGTTTTATTTTGGGAACTTTGCATATTGAATTCATTTTACACCTGGGTTGTAATCACACATGTTAACCAGCCACGTGATAATACTTAGACAAGTGCATGTTAAATGTTTATCAGAATATTAACATTGCTGGATTATTTTAGAAATCACAAAATTCATCCAAGAAGATGAATGTTTTTATTTTCCCCCATTACATGGCCAAAAGTGTTTTGGCTTTCATGATTCACATATAACAACTGTTAGGAGGTAGATAATTATCCATTTCCCCTGGGAATTCGGAATTTCTAATTAAATTTACAAGGACTTTTTTTTCTTTTGTGGTAAAACAACTTCCTTTAAAACTGCAAACAATTTGGCTTCAACTTGGTTTTGTGTTCCATTTTGTAGTATGCACATTGATGAAGGCACTACTTAGGTAC